CACTATGCAATGTAAATTTATGCTCCCAGAGCAGATCTCCAGGGCTGTGTGTTCAGCAGTCCTAGGCTTCTACCCCCTCCCCTTTCCGTTTCTCTTCTTCCCACCCTTGAGCTGGGGTGGGGGAAAGGCTTGGGTCGTGCCAGATCACAGCTGTGGTACGTTACCCTGTTCCATGAGGTATGTTCTTTTCTCCAATTGTATGCAGTCTGGTGCAGCCTTCTTTCCTGTTGCTCTTTCAGGATTAGTTGTATTAACTAGATTTTCATATAATATGTGGTTTTCGGAGGAGGCCTCTGCTCACCTCTCATGCTATCATCTGTAATCTCCAGAATCTCTATACACTCTTTTTTAAAAATACCTCATATTTTGGGTTTGCCTGATGCTTCCTTATGTCTAGACTCAGGATACACATTCTCAGTCAGAATACTACATAGTGAATGCTGTGTCCTTGGCAAGTACCATGTTTGGAGTCACACAATGTTCTTGTGTTCTTCATAAATGATATCAATTTTTAGCACTCACAAGATAGTGTCTGATTTCACCATTGTATGATTATTTTCCCTAGCAATTATTTAGTAGTTTGTAGAGACTACTTTAAAACTATATAAACATGTAAATATTTTGCTCTTCAAAGAAATTTCCCCCTAGATTTAGCATCTGATGATTCTAACCTGATCCAGTCTATAAGAAAAGAGACACAAAATGCTTACTTCCCAAACCTGGCAGCTTCTCCACAGTTAGCAGTCATCACTCAACAGTCTAATAAGTAAGAGTCCTCCTTTCTCCCTATTAATTAATTAATCTATTTGCTCATGTTATGAATTAATGAATTACTATTTTAATGGCTTATAATTCACTACTGTATTTAATTATTGTGGTGCTAATATTCTTCTAGATTTGGCCATTATGAGCCCCTCCAAGATTGTTCCTTGTGACATGCCCCTATTATTTTGGGTACTTCCTTATTTTCTGGCAAATTGAGATGTTCCAAGTTTATCTTTTATTACCCTCCTGCATCCCTAAAATCAGTCATTTCTCTAAGGACTTGGGTTCCTTAGAGTGGTGTGGAATGGTATCTGGGCACTTATATATGCTACATGCTCATTGCTGTTAGGGTGCATGCTTTTCAGCTCTTTCAGGTGACAGAGCTAGGGAATACACACACACACGTATATATACATTTGTTTGCATATACACATATATATTTTAGAAATCATACATTCACAATGATACTTCCAAGTCTATCCCACAGGACTTCTTGACTTTATTCTGTCTTGTATGTCTATGTTTTTTCACTGAAATTCTGGCACTCAACAATAAGCAATACATTTGCTAACACTATATGTAAAATGACATATATAATACATCTAAAATTCAGTTGCTATACCCATACCACTAAAACAAAAAAATATGCTAAAAAGAGTTTAGGATTTGTTTGTAACTGTTTTCCAAATCAACCCCATCCTGTCAAACATTGTACATAAATACTGCACTCTTAAGTTTCTTGAATGGTTATTATTTTCCTTTATGTGTATATGATACTCATTTGAAATACAAATGGATTCATGCTTCAATTTGCTTGTAGTTTTAAGTTCATTTTCCCTTCCTTATCTTTACTGATTTCTTTACATATTTTTGAATGTGTAGAATATTAACATGCACCCAAAAGTAAAAATTATGGAAGAAGGTATTCTCAGAGAGGTGTCACTCCCTCTTGCATTTTATTTGCACTCTGTCTACAAGCTGTAGAAAATTAATTTCACTGCTGCTGGGTAGTTTATCCTCCCTTTGGTTTCTTTTGTATAAATAAACATATTATTTTAAATTCTTTTATAAAAGACAGCACTGTACTTTTTTTTATTTGATAATATTTCCTGGAAATCACTCCAGATTATTTAAGGGAGACCTTCCTTATACTTCCCTGCTGTAGCATAACATTTTTTGTATGGATGGACCATAGTTTCTTCAATCAATGCCTCTGCATAGAGATTAAGGTGGTTTGCAATATTTTCTAATTATAAATAAGACAACAATGGATACCATACATATGTATGTATTTTAACATTATTCGAGCCATATCTAAATTGCCAGATGTGAGACTGCCAGGTTGAAAAGTAAATGATACATAGATTTGTTAGTATTGTCAAATTCTCCTTCACAGTGGTATTCCAATTTGCATTCACACCAGTGATGTTTGAGAATGCCTGTGCCTCACCAACAGCGTACTGTTAAGCTTTTGAAGTTTTGCTAATCTGATGGGTGAAAGATGGTATTAGCATAGTTTAAAGAAAAAAAAGTTTGTTGAGGCAGAATTTACATATAGTAAAATTTAATAATTTTACACACAAACTTTGATAAGTTTGCTTAATCCAAGGTCATAAAAGTTTCTTCAAGAATGTAATCATTTTACTTCTTTGTTTAGATCCATTATCCACTCAGAGTTAGTTCGAGTATGATATGAGGTGGAGGTTGAGATTCATTTTTTTCTTACACAAATATTCCCATGTTCTAGCACTTATTTTTTTGTGTGTGTTCCTTTTGCTTTCTAAAAAAAATTCTTTCGGTACTTAGGAAGGCTTGTATTTTCATTCTGTAGGTTAGCTTTGTATTACTACTTTTGGCAGTTCCTGAAACTCCCTCTAGTTTTACCTTCTCTTTAACTATGTCAGTTTTAAATGATATTCATTAACTACTACACTTTACTTATACAACAGGATGATCATATTCTCCACTTTTTAAAAATACTTTATCCTCTTATTTTAAAAGTAAATTGCATCTTTTGATTTTTGTCAGACATGTAGTATTTACATATATATATATATATGTGTATATATATATATAATTTTTTTACCTGTGAACTCATTCTCATTTTAGTCTCAGCTATAAAGAAAACATATGAAATGCTTATTCTTTGGAAACTCTTGATAAAATTATTCCAGAAATTTTTTTAGCTGGATGACACTCATCCTTTCCTAGATTCCTCAATAATACTACATGTGTATAGTATTTTCTTAATACTGACACATTCCAAACTGTTTTCCTATGGCCTTGATATCTGAAAGTCAGCTTGGCCATATACAATATTTTTGGTTTACATTTCTTTTAGCTTCTTGAAATGTTGTTTCACTATTGCCTTACTTTGCATGTTGTGTTAAGAAGGCTGATGCTAGTCTACTTTTACTGCCTTTGTATATTATTTGATCTTTCCACTTGAAGGCACTGTGCATTTTTTTTCTCAATCTTTAAAGTCTAATAGCTTTAGTGTTGGATATGTCCTAGAGCTAATCATTCCAGGTCAAATTTCCTTATTCCCAATAACACATTCATGTCTTCTTTTATTTCTGGAAAGTTTTCTTGGATTACAAATTCTAAATATAAACAGCAATAGCTGTTTGGTTTTACTTCTTCAAGAAACTCTGTTGCTTCTTTATTTCACTCATTTTCTTGGTTATTTTTCTGGTCTTCAATGCCTTTTCATTTGGCTATATTCTTTCTTGGGCAACTTGTAATTTAGTTTTCATTTCTCATATGAGTTTGTCTTTTCCTTCTATTTCTTTCCCGAATTTTATCCACTCTCATTGTACTTCTTCCTATTGTTTATCAATTTCTATTCTTAATTGCTTTTTATTTCTTATTTGAAGCATTTTTTCTTAGCACCAATTTGAGACTACTGAATTGAGTTTGAACTATTGTGTTAACAGTTTTCTTCAGCTTTGTGGGTGGACTGTTTTGGAGAATCTTCAGCAGAAGGAATGCTTTAATTCATAGTATCTGACTTTTACAGTTGTTTTGTAACAATGGAACAATGTTTATCCCATTCTTTTTTCTTTTATAGGAAGCCTTCTTAGTTCAATGGCGCCCTCTTCTGTGCAGTTTCTTTCATGAAACATGTTGATGGTCTTGTGGGTAGATGGAGAGGTCTCTTAGGTCTTACTCATCTCTAATTTCTGGAGGATCCTTAATTTTCCCCTTGTACTTTCTTCTTTCCCTTCATTGTCTAGTTTCCAAGGGCACCACTCCATCTCTATTTACTTGATTCTTCCCCAGAAGAAATAATTCTCCAAGGCTGACACTTCCGGTTGCACACCCTTTGTCAAGTCCTAGAACCACCAAATCCTGACCTATATTCAGTATTTTGGCATCAACTGTTGCATTTTTTTCTTTCCGGAGGTGACTTTATTTGTAGTTCATTTAATTGGTTTGTTTTTCCTTATTCTTTTTCAGAGTCATTTAAGGCTTACCTCCTCTGCTTTTTGTATCCCACGTTTCAGCAGCAGACAAGCTGCAGGAATTTGATGGAATTCTTCATGCTATTTATATGTACTTTGAAGGTTATGGTGTTTTCTGCCACATATTGAAGGTATGGGTCTCCTGTATGGTTTTACTTGCTCTCTTTGTCAATTTTATGTTTTCTGGGGGGATAATGTTGGGGAGAAACATTGAAACATTGAAAATCAGGTGACTGTACTGAGTTCTACCAATGTTCTCTTCATTTCCTACTCTTACTAATATTTGTTTGTTATTTCTATATCTATTTCATGATAATTCCTTTGCATTTGTTTTGCTGTAAGTTACCTAAAATTCTTTGAAGAATAATGCAGAGTGAAAATAAATGTTTACTTTTCATTATAAAATAAAAGTAAAAAATGTTCTGTCTTGAACTCTTTTCTTGTTTCATTGTTTTTTTTAACAGAATGAGGTATAACAGAATAAAAGTAAAGGGAAAAAGAAAAGAAAAAGGAAAAAGAATGAAAGGCAATGAAATTGATCATTTCAGTCTGTAGTCATCTGTTTTTGAAAGCGATTTCTTTGAGCAATAGTAGCAGGACTTCAGCACAGGTACTGCCTCTGAAAGTGACTGCTTTTAAGATCTATGATATTTTATACTATATTATTCACATCTGTAAGCACTGGGATATTATACAACATCACTGTTTTAGAATTATACCTTACATGTTTACGCACATACACAAAACTCATGTATGCAATACATCACTTACTTGTTTCACATTCTGGAGTTCTTCTGTCAATTGTTTCCTTTGCCTTTCTGATTCAAGTAATTTTTCCTATATTTAAAAACCACTATATTAATAACTTGTTATAAAGGTATCAATGAGTGTCACTTTTAGGGCTTTATTTCAAAGTTTATAATTCCCCAAGTGTCTAACTGCTATAATCTGAAAATGTAGTTCCTAGTCATTGTTCTGGCTTTATAGATACAATTTAAAAGTAATTAGTTATTTACAGTATAACTGTGACTTAACTGTACTTTGTTACTTTAACTAGCCATTTGTAAAATCTCAAAATCTGAGGACCAAAATAAGTTAATTGGGATCTAAATGTGTAAACATTAACTATGTTTTAGGCAACAGCTATCATTGCCAAATAGCATCATTATTATAGCTTAGAAGGTCTGTTCCTCTACTGAAGAGGACATACGAAACAAGGTTAGCTATTATTTTCCTTATTTAGTTAATTCTTGGAAGATTATCCATAAAATGAAAATATAACTGGTATAACTAAAATATGGAGTAATAGTTATTAAGGCAGAATAATATTACACATGCATATCAATTATCTTTGAACTTAAAATTAAGCATATATCCCGAAAAGTTCAATTTTGCTAAATATATCATAAAAAAATCCACATTTTATTGATCAAATTAGAAATACTAGGAGTTATTTAAGAACTATTTTACTATAAACTAGAGCAGAGGAATTGCTTGAAGATTAAACTGAGTGGTAAATATTCATGGCAACATTGCAATGTTTATAAGAGGCAATCTGCTTTCTGGGATATTTCAACTCATTCTTGTCTGAGAAATGAAATGAAGGTATATGAAGATGAATATAACATAGCAGAGTCTAATGAATCTGCCACAGACCAGGTGCCAAGAAATTGCTGGCTTCCATACTTTTATGGTCTGGCAAGTTACCTGCACTCTCTGTGTCCTAGTTCTTGCATCTGTAAATGGAAGAAGATATTTCTATTTTCAGTCAGCTTTGCAAAGCAGTGGCAACTTCAACTCTGCAGAAAGGCTTTAACTTAAGTAAAGCTCACAGCACTCTTAAAAATCATTCTTGCAAAATAAAAATTAGTCATTGCAATCAAATTATCTTGGTTTCATTTTTATCTGTACCTCAAATCAGACATGAAGAATAGAGATATAGCAGGATAATGGGAAGCAATGAGAGAACATCTACACTTTCTATGAACTTCATTTAACAACCTTATTTTTGTGTGTGTATATATTCAAGTAAAAAATCTGAAAGTACAAATGTTATCTCAAATGAAATATTTATTGCTTTATACATTCCTTTGTATAGCTAAACAACTGGTTCTCAGCATTAGATAGTTTTATAGGTAAAGGAAATTATATGTTATATCTTGGATTTCTGATTTTGTCACATTAGGACATGCTCAATTACATTTCATAAACCTTAAATGTGAATGCTGACTTACTGACTAGCTCCTCAGAGTAGTCTTATCTAAATTTTACATGAATACATTTTTAAATTAAAATTCTAGCAATTAACAGATATTCAAATAAAAAAATGAATTTATCATTGCATTTAATAATGATAAATATTAAGGAAATGACAAAGATCTGAAAGCCTCTGAAAATTCTGAAGAACCAAAGATTTAACCATTTATGAAGAGATGAATTTTATAAAATTGCTCTTACTAAGATAACCAATATTGGGGATGTTTTCTCAGAGAATAGGAAGAAACTACTGTCAACTTATCTTTAAAATTAAATTTTATTTCTCTTCTTAACTCTTAATTGTTATACTAAGAAATGTGTAAAGGTAATGGTTTCAAAGTTGTAAAAGGAGGTATATAAAATATTTCTTTAGCGATGGAATACTCGTATATATTTAGAAAGAACATGAGTTGGTAAGACCTTTTGAAAGGGAATTTGGTAACATACATAAAATTTATGTGTCCCTACCTTTTGATAAAGCAATTCCACTTTCAGGAATTTATTCAATTTGTACTTTTATAATTGTAGAGTTGCCCAAAGATGTATCTACAAAGCTATTTATGATGGGATTATTTTTAATAACAAAAAATTGGAAATAGCCTAAATATTCATTAATACGGAACTGGCTAAGTAACCTACACTAAGAAAAATTTGGTAGATCTGTACATATTAACCTGGAAAGTAGCCCAGGGTAAATGCTAAGAAAAACAAAAAAAAGAGGACAAGTTGTAAAAAAGGTTACAATGTATGAAGCAATTATGTAAAAGTTAAAATACAACTTTTTAAAAAAATATATGGCTATACAGAGAAAGTCTCTGAAAAGATAAATAAGATATGTTTAACAATGGTTTCCTCTAGAGGTTGGAATTTAAAAACTAAGGTAAGAAATTTTTTTTTTGGTGTAAATACTTTGCTCTAATAAAAATTAAATTAATATTTAATTATTTCTCTTTAAGAATTTTACTTATTTCAGAAGATAATTAAAGGTACTTTAAAATACATTCTTATGGTGTATTAATAGTAAATCAAGTGGTCATGTTGCTTATCTTGAAGATTTGGAAAATATAATGGGTTCTGTAAAAATAAGGGTAATTTAAATTTAATATTTTACTAAAAACAGAATGAAAATTTATTAAGAGAATTAAAATCTTAAAGTATATTTGGGACATACTGTGTTTTTTCTTCCCTTAAATCATCTTGTCTTAATTCCAAATTATGTTAATAAAACAAGATGTCTAAAGAATGCCGATGAACATGGGAGAAATGTATTTCCTAATGAACATCGGAGGATCCTAAGTTGCCATGGGTTTCTTTATGGGCTTCTCATCCAGTCTCTGTTGGATCCTCATCCTTGCCACCAGCGTGAGGAAAAAACAGTGGTGAGAAGTAGCCAGATGAGAAGGTACGAGCAAAAACTGCTGTTAATACTGCTTACATGGATATTGTGAAACAAAAAGAGTAAGTATGTGAGCTAAATAATGAACTCTCTAAAGGCCTACTGAAGAAACAAATATGGTATCAGTATTATATCAACAGTAACATCAAATATTTGATATTTACTTGTTCAACAGGCCTGTAGAGAATTGATATTTACTTCTTATATTTGATGTTTATTTCTAATAATAGACACCAATATCATATCAATATTAACATTAAATATTTGACATTTATTTCTTAAAAATATAATAGATCATTTTCTTTGTTTTATTATTTTCTAAACAAAATGTGAGGAAGCTAAATTGGAGATTTACCTTAAGTGTATTCACTTCTTCCAAGGCATCATGTCTTTCACGCTTAAGTCTTTCCTTTTCATCTGCTTCTAAGGAATCACAGGGAAGATGCTGTCAACATTAAAACATAACAGAAAAGTTATGCATTAGATGCTAATTATAAGAACTAACGTAAAAGGCCTTTTTGATGAGTTTTCAGGTTTTGCATTCCAATAACAAAATTCAGTTTCTTACTTTGGAGTCATTTTATTTGATAAAAGAAAGTATTAAAGTAATCTGGGGTAACTTCATTTATTTACATTCTTGTTGCTTATAATGGAATTTAAGAGGTTATAAGATATACATACTTTCTTGTCATCTTTATGATTATTTTAATAATATGATTATTTTAATAATAAAAAACTTTGTTTTTTGTTTAAAAAACAAAGACTGTGTTTATAATGTCAAAAAGATTTTATAAGTTTCCAATTTAAACTATTCCCCAAAGACATCCACTCCAAGTACATGGTAGTGACTAAGGCTGACAAGAGGCAGGACATTGTTAACTGAGATAGTTTATGTGAACCCAGTAAAGTATATTTATCAATTATGTGTCTTGTTTTAATCAAATGAAGTGTAATGTAACAGTCAAACAGCTTGAAGATTCCTGCACAGAAACTGTGGATTTAAGATATTAATAATTCATACATAGGTAATGACAAAACATGGCACAGATGACAATTTCTTTCCTAGTATGATCTCTGACAGTTAATACAAAATGAAAAACAATGACAATCTAATCAGAGATAAAAATCCAAGTTGAGTTATAGTCATCTACAGGGAAATTATAACAGAACTAAAAAAAAACAGTAGAAAATATAATTTAAAGGATTAAGTGGAGAAAGTGACAGCTATGTAAGACGGCAGGGCCCTTTGGATAGGAGAGGTGAATGCAGTAAAAAACAATAAAAATAATATGAATAGCTTATTAGGAATTTACTATGTGCAGACACATTTAGAAGGACTACCTTTATTCCATTTATATTCTTACTATAACCTTATCTCCATATTACAAAAGATGAAACAGGCTCAAAAGGTTACTAACTTGCCTAAGGTTTTGTAGTTTATAAATGGCTATTTCAATATTCCCATGAAGGTCTGATATTAGTCTGTGATTTTTACTAACCACCCAAGATAAATCATGGTGGAATGGATATGATAAACTCAGATTTGCTTTGTAAATCCTATAATAACATAAGTAGGAGTCATTCCTCAAGTTTTAAGAGAAATATCTTCCTTAAACACTACTGGCTCCTTTTGGCCTGACAGTTTCTCCTGGGTATCTAGAGCCACTGTCCATAATTTACATGATCTCATATTTCATTTTTTTAAAAGTACTGTTAATATACAATCTTATGTTCATTTCAAATATATGCCACAGTGCACATTTGTGCTTACATTGTGTTTGTGAATTATTGTGTCCCTTTATCCCCTTCCCCTTCCCCACCAAACCTACCCTAACCTCTCACTCTTGGTAACCACTAGTCACTTTTCAGTCTCTATGAGTCTACTACTGTTTTGTTCCTTCTGTTTTGTACTATTTTTATATTCCACAAATAAGTGAAATCAGATGGTATTTGTCTTTCTCTACTAGGCTTATTTCACTGAGTATAATACTCTCAAATCCATCCATGATATTGCAAATGGAAGGATTTTTCTTTTTATGGCTGAATAATATTCCATTGTGTGTATGTACTACATTTTCCTTACCCATTCATCTATTGATGGACACTTAAGTTGCTTCCATATCTTGGCTATTGAAAATAATGCAGCAATAAACATAGTGGTGCATGTAGTTTTTCAAGCCAGGGATTTTGTTTTCTTCCAGTAAATTCCTAAGAGTGGAATTACTAGGTCAAATAGTATTTCTATTTTTATTTTCTTGAGGAACCTACATACTGCTCTCCATGGTGGCTGCACCAATTTGAATTCCCACCAACAGTGTAGAAAAGTTCCTACTTCTCCACATATTCACCATTATTTGAGGTTTCTTGTCTTCTTGGTAATGGCCATTCTAACTGGTGTGAGGTGATATCTCATTGTGCTTTTAATTTTCATTTTCCTGGTGATTAGTGATGAGAAGCATCTTTTCATGTGCTTGTTGGCCATCTGTATTTCTTTGGAGAAGTGCCTGTTCAGGTCTGCTGCCCATTTTTTAATCAGGTTATTTGTTTTTTGGTTGTTGAGGCATGAGTTCTTTATTTTGGATATTAACCTCTTATCAGATGAGTCATTTATGAATATATTCCCCCAGAATGTAGGATGCCTTTTTGTTCTGTTGGTGTCTTTTGCAGAACAGCAGCTTGTCAGTTTGATGTAGTCCCACTTGTTTATTTTATTAGTTTCCCTTGCCTAAGGAGATGTATCCAGGAAAAAAGTTGCTCGTGCTTATATTCAAGAGATTTTTGCCTATGTATTCTTCTATGAGTTTTATGGTTTCATGACTTACATTCAGGTCTTTGATCCATTTTGAGTTTACTTCTGTTTATGGAGTTAGACAGTAATCCAGTTTCATTCTGTTACATGTAGCTGTCCAGTTTTGCCACCACCAGCTGTTAGAAGCTGTCATTTTCCCCATTGCATATTCACGGCTCCTTCATCGTATATTGATTGACCATATATGCATGGGTTTATATGTAGGCTCTCTATTCTGTTCCATTTATCTGTGCATCTGTTCTTGTGCCAGTACCAAATTGTTTTGATTACTGTACCTTTGTAGTAGAGCTTGAAGTCAGGCAGCATAATCCCCCCAGCTTTGTTTTTTACTTTCTCAGGATTGCTTTGGCTATTTGGGGTCCTTTTTGCTTCCAAATGAAATATTTGTTCTAGTTCATTGAAAAATGCTGTTGGTATTTTGATAGGGATTGCATTGAATCTGTAAATAACTTTGGGCAAGGTAACCACTTTGACAATATTAATTCTTCCTATCCATAAGCATGGGATAGATTTCCATTTATTGGTATCTTCTTTAATTTCTCTCATAAGTGTCTTGTAGTTTACAGAGTATAGGTCTTTCACCTCCTTGGTTAGGTTTATTCCTAGGTATTTTATTCTTTTTGATGCAACTATACATGAAGTTGTTTTTCTGATTTCTCTTTCTGTTAGCTCGTTGTTAGTATATAGGAATGTGACAGATTTCTGTGTATTAATTTTGTATCCTGCAACTTTGCTGAATTCAGTTATTAGTTCTAGTAGCTTTTGGTGGACTCTCTAGGATTTTCTATGTATAACATCATGTCATCTGCAAATAGTGACAGTTTAACTTCTTCCTTACCAATTTGGATGCCTTTTATCTCTTTATCTTGTCTGATTGCTGTGGCTGGGACCTCCAGTACTGTGTTGAATAAAAGTGGCTAAGAGTGGGCATCCTTGCCTTGTTCCCAATCTTAGAGGAAAAGCTTTCAGCTTTTTGCCATTAAATACCATGTTGGCTATGGGTTTGTCGTATATGGCCTTTATTATGTTGAGGTGTGCACCTCTGCACCCATTCTGCTGAGTTTTTATCATGAATGGATGCTGAATTTTATCAAATGTTTTTTTCAGCATCTATTGAGACAATCATGTGGTTTTTCTCTTTCTTTTAATGTGGTGTATGATATTTATTGATTTACAGATATTGTACCATCCTTGCATCCCTGGAATAAATCCCATTTGGTCAGGTTGGATAATCTTTTTGATGTATTTTGGATTTAGTTTGTAAATATTTTGTTGAGGATTTTTGCATCTATGTTCATCAGGGATATTGGTGTGTAGTTTTTTTTATGGTGTCTTTGGTTTTGGTATTAGAGTGATGCTGGCCTCATAGAATGAGTTTGGAAGTATTCCCTTCTCTTCTACTTTTAGGAATACTTTAAAAAGGATGAGTATTAGCTCTTTAAGTGTTTGGTAGAATTCAGATGTTAAGTAATCTGGACATAGATTTTGTTTTTGATTAACAATTATATTTCGTTTCTGGTAATTGGTCTGTTCAGATTTGCTGTTTTCTCCTGGGTCAATTTTGGAAGGTTGTATTTTTGTAGGAAGTTGTCCAATTTATTGGCATATAATTTTTCATAATATTCTCTAATAATTCTTTGTATTTCCATAGTATCTCTTGTGATTATTCCTTCTTCAATTCTGATTCTGTTTACATGTGTACATTCTCTTTCTTTTCTTGATAGGTCTGGCTAGGGGCTTATCTATTTTATTTTCTCAAAGAACCAGCTCCTGGTTTCATTGATTTTTTTTCCTATTGTTTTTATTCTTCTCTATTTATATCTGCTCTGATCTTCATTAGGTCCTTTCTTCTACTGACTTTTGGCTTCATTTGTTCTTCTTTTTCTAGTTACTTTAATTATGTTTTTAGACTGTTTATTTGGGATTGTTCTTGTTTCTTGAGGTAAGCCTGTATTGCTATGTACTTTCCTCTTAAAACTGCTTTTACCACCTCCCGATGATTTTGGGCTATTGAGTTTTTGTTTTCACTTGTCTCCATGTACTGCTTGATTTTTGTTTTAATTTGCTCATTGATCTATTGATTATTTAGAAGCATGCTGTTTAGTCTCCATGTGTTTGTAGGCTTTTTTGTTTGGTGTAATTTATTTCTAGTTTCATACAATTGTGGTCTGAGAAAATGTCTGATACAATTTCAATCTTTTTGAATTAACTGGGGCTCTTCCTGTGGCCTAGTATGTGACCTATTGTGGATAATGTTCCATGTGTACTTGAGAAAAATATGTATCCTTATGCTTTCGGGTGGTGTTCTGTAGATATCTGTTAAGTCCATATGATCTAATGTATAGTTCAGTGCCTGTTTTCTTATTTATTTTCTGCCTGCTTGATCTATTGATGTGAGTGGTGTGTTAAGGTCTCCTAATATGAACGTGCTGCAATGTTTCCCCCCTTAATTGTCAGTATTTGTGTTATATATTTAGGTGCTCCTATGTTGGGTGCATAGATATTTATAATAGTTATATCCTCTTGTTGGGACTGATACCTTTATCATTATGTAATATCCTTTGTCTTATTACTTTCTTTGATTTGAAATTTATTTTCTCTGATATAAGTACTGCTACTACTGCCTTCTTTTCCCT